TCATTTCTAGGTGCTCCACAAATGTCCTTTCATCATGCTCCGCTTCAATCGCTTGTTTGGTTTTGTGTATCTAGCTTGGCTTTCTCTGCTCTTGTTTGGCTGTTGTTGATTGCTGTTTTCTTGTTTTTCCTTGTTGGAATCTTGCCCAGGGCGATAAAAATGGATCCATTTCTTATGGTGGTGCCTCTTGCGACCCAGCGTCCCCAAGCAAGTTGAAGTTACTGCATGTTTAATCCCTTTCCAGTTGTTGTCTATAGTAATTTCCCCATCTTTGAATCGATATTGTAAGGCTTAGAATTTATTGCTGATAGCTATCTTGAATTCGTCAAGTTTGCCAGTGTCCCGAAGAAAGACTTATTCAACTTTCGTACTGCTGTTTGTCCAATTATCCAGTGCTTCTCCAACGTCAGTTTCATCTTGACCATCATCTGGTGCTGTGTCAGCTCTCCTCTCTGTTCACACGTTTTCCTGATGCAGATGTGGTCTACTTGGTCGTGTGTAAGGTGATCCGGTGGAACCCATGTGGCTCTGTGTGTGCATTTGTGTTGGAATATGACGCCACCTATCACCATTTTGTTGAAGGCACATAGATTTGCAAATCTCTCACTGTTTTTGTTCTATTCTCCCAGTCCATGTCGTCCGATGATGTCTTCGCATCTAATGTTGTCCATTCCAACCTTGACGTTTATGTTTCCTATCAGAATAGTCAAGTCGCTTGCTGGTGATTTCTCTACGATTGACTGTGACCTCTTACAGAATTGTTCTTGATTGTTAACGTTCGTGGGTGCATAGCAATGAATAACATTCACTGTACATCCTCCTTCCTTGTTTTGACGGATGCTTTGATTATCTTGGATGTATTGTATTCCTATCTTAAAAGTGTATTTCGGGTTTGTTTTGACAGCATCAGTGCAAGTGATTGTATGCGAGGCATTTTCTTCTTCATGATCGGAGTTCAACATAATCTTTTCCGAAGCTAGTCTTTGTTGTCCAACGTGTTTCGCTGATTTCAAGTACCACTAGGTTATATCTTTTGATTTCCACAGAAACTTGAATATAGCTGACATTTAACCACATTGTGAGAATATTCCATGTACTTACATAAACTGTTGCTACGATGGTCCGAAGAGACATTGGCCTCGTTACTTTGGAAGAAACTCGGCTTTCACCATAAGTTGTCATAACACTTCGTAATGGATACTTCCCAACTCCCAGGACAGAGTTTAAAATGTTTGAATTGTTTGTTTTGATTAGCGTTTTTTGCATTGATTTTCTACGGTATGGGTTAGCTAACCTCATGCATGCTCAACCGTTTTCCTTAATCCGGGCTTGGGACCAGCAGTATCCCTAGAAGGGTTCTAGGCGCAAATAAAATAAGACGGACAAGATAGTGGTCTTGGCAACAATATTAGGTCATAGTAAAGATGGAGAATGTATCTTGGAACGACAAGATGAAATGGTACATATGAAGGAAAACTGCAATCCAAAACATAGAGTATGATAAAGAGTGGACGTATATGCGACATGTTACCACTGATTCTCGGCCCTATCACCCAGCGTTCACAACTTCTGGTCGCTGTTTTTATGCAGAGACTTCAACCATGTAATCTACATCTATCAATATAATTACACCAGTAATAAATAACTTCATAAGCTTCTGCCACTTTCTAGTGTGGTTACATTGATCGTTCACCCGAACGCTCCATTGAAGTAAGTAGTGTTTAAGTGTACGTAACACCGCAGCCTTAAAAGATCTACAACCTCATCTTTCCCCGGTACCATGTTCCTAACTATAAGATTACCCACTCGATCATCACACAGCACAAAAATAAAGATCTGTACCTTATAGTACAGTTCATTACAGTAATTTGCAAGTCTAAAGTATTAGACCATTTTCGTTACACTATTAATTGACACTCAAAGGTAATCATTCTCCTCCAACTTATGAAGTGAGATTTAGGTGCTAATTTTTTCATATCACTTCTGATTTCAATGTTGGCATTACTCGAAAAAGATAACTGACATAGCTTAAGATCATTCACGTTACCATGTAGTTAATTTTTTATAAATAATACGAAACAACTGTGTATTTCGTAAAAAACTAGCCGTTGGAAAGGTATTCACAGGTTATTCTATGTCAATGGTAAACGTCAGTTCAAAATATCTGTGAGTTGAACATTTTCATCATTTGTGAAAACAGTCCACATTTCGTTCATGTGTTGTGGTTGCTACTCACAAGATTGCCCATATGTATTATGTAGCGGAATGTCGTGAGAAGGGTGACTATATAGCAGACAGCTGACAACAAGTTTCAGGAGGCCAAAATTACTGCATGTTTGAATAATATTAGGGATCAGACAAAACGTGAGAGAAAACAGTCCACAACCATCTTGGGTTGCAGACATGCCAATACATGACTGGAGTCTAGGTGTACATTGATTAACATTTCTTCTGACCGAGTAGCTTATTCTTATGCAACCTAGACTGGCTACATGACATTCTGAAGATTATCTCCAAAACTACAATCACTAGTGAGTATAATATGAGTTGCCCATAACCACAAGAAACCTGGATGAAAGAAAACAATATGACAAATTCTGATTAATACAAAGAAGTATTCTTAAACATTCATTTAGGCCTACTGATTGTTTTGTAGAGTTGGAGATATTTGATGACTCATCGTTCACGTACGAAGTAGTTAAGAAACTGCTGATGGCATATTATCTACTGAACATTTCATCACGGAAATGTTCTCTACACTTCCGTTTCGAAATTCATAGAAGTTTCATCTTCACTTTTTGAGTTGATTTCTGCCAAAAGCAATGCCATGAAGATATTCCATGTAATGACATGAAACTTTTGAGTGACGAAGGTAATTTAGAAACTTAGAATCTATAGGAAAACAGAGAGAAGATGCATTTTCGTCATTACAAACGATTTTGAGTGCCGATCCTTAGTTCTCCCCCTAGCTATTATCCAACTTACTCCTATACCATAAATCAGTTGTACAAGTGGGTGCCGGTTCGGGACAAAGAGCTTGTGTCCCGTCCACCTCAAATGACAATTTACTATCTCGCTAATCGATTTGCCATATTTATTCAAAACCTTAACCCAGGCGTTAGTTTATTTAGTTATACTAAAATACATAGGCGATGCCTCGAAGACATATATGACTGAATACTAGTAGCCTAAGAATGTCCTCTATTCTCAATTGTCATGTTTCACATTCATGGCGTAGAAGAGAGCGAAATGTCGAGCAGTGGTTTCGTCCTTTGTTTGTCAGATGAATTATCTCGCTTACACTACAATTGGCGCAAGTCGGCAAAAGTCAAGTAAACTATCTGATTCAATGCTGAGATTATACCTTACGTCAGCTACAAAATAAACATTTTAACAGATCGTACCAAACAATATAGTTTGATATGTCAATCAAGTAATAACACTTCGTCTTCAGGTATAACGAAACTGAACAGCTACATGACACACTCAAGCTACATATCGAAATCATGCGCATTTGAAGCATTGCCTATGTACTAGAACGAATACAACTTTCACGTTACAAAAATATAATTCAACCAAGAGATTTCGAATAAAACCTAACATATGCATATGCTTTGCATGTTTAATTTATACGACGAACAATATATTGTAGTGCCTTCACATTTATTTGCATCCGCTTACATTTAATTTGCTTAAGCCCTTTCGATTAATTTATTTAACCAAGCCATTTGTATAGCAACAACTCATATATACCATTGGTATCTTTTATTATCTGGTTTGTATGAGCTTGTACGACTGAGCATTGCTTACGTCTACGCGCTTACTCATCCTTTTCGCTTTAATGTTAATCTCTTAATATTCCCATGAACTCACATGATTTGTATCGCTTGTCATTTGACCTTGTCAATCATTCGTCGATTTTATTCATGTGTGTGCATGCCTATTTCGCTTGTCATATGTTTGTCTTATGCCTGATTATATATTCTTAGTCATTCTCTATCTCTTTGAGTTGGCTCTTAGCCTTCTCCAACGCGCTTCGCCTATCCATTCGCTTCCTTCGTTTTATTCACTGCTTCTCCGCTTCGCTTTGTGGTGTGTCCCGAATAAACGTATTCATCAATACGAGTTCATGTTCTGATTTATAATCCGAGCTTAAGAACACGCAGATGCATCGACATACCACAGCATTTCAGCAGTGACCTACAAGCAAGTGTCGGAAATCGGCCTTTAGTGAGTGACCCACGATTATTTCCAGTCTAGTAATCCATCTACTACTTAACTAAATCTCCAGATTTAGCTTTTTTAAATACCTAAAAAAACGTTCAATAAACCATTCGTAAATATAATTTACATACAAAGTCGATTAGAATCAGTAGTAAGCTGCTGCCGAAAGTGTGCTAACTGAACAGTTAACTAGATAGATTATTGCAGATGAAAAATCCAAGTCCTCTCTCTACACAACAGCTGACTAATGGCATTGAAACTAAATCTTGTTTCCGCCAGCGGTGACGGAATACTTTTTTTTCCTTATAAATAAATCAAGTGTACTTGTTATCCTTATTCATGAACGACATATTGACTACAAATTGCTTGATCATTCGCAATGTCGCCGGTGCATTTATTCTCTGTGTTCTCTCAAATCCTAATCTTCTGGATTCTTCAACACCTCTAGTTTTAACTTTCTAAACTTTTCTCATTTAATCATACTTCTTGAATAATACATCTTCTAATCCTAACCTCTCCGATTACTTCTAATACCTTTACTATCTCTACTACTATTGAATTTGAATTGACAATTATATCTCTGTGCACATGTGGTATGGCGACATGAACTGATGTACTTATGTACGTACAAAGTTCTACGTTGCATCTGACTGACTGAATGAATTACTTGATTATTAAAATTAAAAATAGTACTGTTTTTTCTTTGTTGTTGTTGTTGAAAAACTGAATTCAATGTGAAGAAAAAAAAGAAGTAAAAAAATTGGTTAGAAAATGCATTGACATGAATCACAATATTTTAAAAACAATGGTTATAATGGTTGTATTACACAAAGACATCAATATTCAACAGTATAACTTGTATGGACGACAGTAAATACATGTATGTATAGATGTATGTGTAAAAATAAACAAAATAAATTACAATAATGTAGTAGTAGCAGTAGTAGTAGTAGTAGCAGTAGGAGTTAATTTAAAACCAAAAAAAAAATGAACAAGTTCACGATTAAATAAAAACACATCAGTATTCAATAGTTAGGTGTATTGATGAAAATGTTGACCATAATAAAAATATTAACTATTTATTCTCTATTGAGTAATTTAAGAAGAAGAAGAAGAAAATATTGTACTTATAGAATAAAAAAAAGGTAGTTGTTTGTTGCTCTTTTATAAATAATAATATTACATTAAAGAGGGAAAAACACTGATTTGTTAAAAAATACACGTAATAAATATGTATGTATATATATATATAGCTGATTTCTAGTTAAGAAACACAAATTATTGGACAAATGGGTGAATAAAAAAGCAGTTACTTCTTTGCATTGCTGGTTTGCTGGGTTTTTGAACGAGTTTGACGGTATAAAGATGGTGATTGTTTGACTTGACGTGATTTCGATGCTACTGAGCTATTATTATTATTATTGGTCTTTGTTAGTTTTGGTTTCTTTGTAATCTTAGATGATATACTTTTTTGCGGTGGTTGACTTGTTATTTCTGAAGTTGTAGTTGTTAACTTATGAGAACGAAGAGCACGTCTTTTTGGTGAAACTTTAGCTATACTATCAACAGGTATGACAGAAGGGCGTTTAGTATGTCGTGTATGTATTTTAGTCTTTGATAAAACATCATCACTGGATTGATCGATTAGAGTAGATTTTGAAGATGAACTAGTTGGAAGTGGACTCGTTTGCGAAATCACTACTTGTTTACGGTTTCGCGGATTATTTGTTTTCGTAACATTCTTCTTTTCACCAGATCGGTTTTTAACAGGTAAAGATTTCACTTCATCTTGTGTTTGCTCATTCGTTACACAATCAATATCCGATCGAACAGATCTATTCCGTAGCCGTTTGGCTATTGGAATACTCAAAGAGTCTCTACGAACTACAGAGAGTCTTTTCGCAGATCTTTTCGACGTCGAGCTGTTCGAAGACTTTACTGTATGTAGCGAATGATCCTGTAGTGGATCAGGACACTTCGAATACTCAGAGACATTCCTATTCCTAGTAGTTGTCCTACTTTTAGACTGTTTGATGGTAGTTTCTACATTGGACTTAGGTACAACTGTCTCAGAAGATGTTTTCACCAAGTCGCTTCTATCTGAACCTTCTATAGCAATAGAATCACTGACTAAAGTACCAGGTATTTTCACTGGTCGTTGCGTGCAACCAGACGATAAACATGCAACGTTTAATTGAGCTGTTCTATTACGAAGACGCTTTGCTACGGGAGCGATATTATCAATCTCCGACAGAGGCGGCACTGCACCTTGTGAATGTTGACTATCATCCATTGTTGCATGCACAAGTTCTTTCTTTGACTTATTCCCAGTACGGCGGCGAGGAGACTTGACAGGACGTGGTACCACCACACTCGCAGAAGAGGAAACAGTCGTTTTCGTAGACAAATTATTTGTCTTAGTAGTCTTTTGACCATCAAAATAGTTAACAGACTGTAGAGCGCGCCGATTTCTCCGCAACATCCTAACACCAGTCACAACAGCATTCTTCGTTGAAGACAACGAACTCAGCTCAGGAGTCACCGGTTCCTCCTCCGCCAAGTTCGTCGATGGCACTGATGAAGGTCGACCACGACGTCTCTTCACACTCTCCTCTTCAACAAACAACTCACTGACACCGGATACACGCGGAGTTCGCACAGACTTCGGCGTTCTCATCAACCTCTTAACTCCTGTCAAACCAGCATTCTTCGTTGGAGACAACAAACTCTGCTCAGGAGTCACCGGTTCCTCCTCCGCCAAGTTCGTCGGTGGCACTGATGAAGGTCGACCACGACGTCTCTTCACACTCTCCTCTTCAACAAACAACTCACTGACACCGGATACACGCGGAGTTCGCACAGACTTCGGCGTTCTCATCAACCTCTTAACTCCTGTCAAACCAGCATTCTTCGTTGGAGACAACGAACTCTGCTCAGGAGTCACCGGTTCCTCCTCCGCCAAGTCCGTCGGTGGCACTGATGAAGGTCGACCACGACGTCTCTTCACACTCTCCTCTTCAGCAAACAGCTCACTGACACCGGATACACGCGGAGTTCGCACAGACTTCGGCGTTCTCATCAACCTCTTAACTCCTGTCAAACCAGCATTCTTCGTTGAAGACAACAAACTCTGCTCAGGAGTCACCGGTTCCTCCTCCGCCAAGTTCGTCGGTGGCACTGATGAAGGTCGACCACGACGTCTCTTCACACTCTCCTCTTCAACAAACAACTCACTGACACCGGATACACGCGGAGTTCGCACAGACTTCGGCGTTCTCATCAACCTCTTAACTCCTGTCAAACCAGCATTCTTCGTTGGAGACAACAAACTCTGCTCAGGAGTCACCGGTTCCTCCTCCGCCAAGTCCGTCGGTGGCACTGATGAAGGTCGACCACGACGTCTCTTCACACTCTCCTCTTCAACAAACAACTCACTGACACCGGATACACGCGGAGTTCGCACAGACTTCGGCGTTCTCATCAACCTCTTAACTCCTGTCAAACCAGCATTCTTCGTTGGAGACAACAAACTCTGCTCAGGAGTCACCGGTTCCTCCTCCGCCAAGTTCGTCGGTGGCACTGATGAAGGTCGACCACGACGTCTCTTCACACTCTCCTCTTCAACAAACAACTCACTGACACCGGATACACGCGGAGTTCGCACAGACTTCGGCGTTCTCATCAACCTCTTAACTCCTGTCAAACCAGCATTCTTCGTTGGAGACAACGAACTCTGCTCAGGAGTCACCGGTTCCTCCTCCGCCAAGTCCGTCGGTGGCACTGATGAAGGTCGACCACGACGTCTCTTCACACTCTCCTCTTCAACAAACAACTCACTGACACCGGATACACGCGGAGTTCGCACAGACTTCGGCGTTCTCATCAACCTCTTTACTCCTGTCAAACCAGCATTCTTCGTTGGAGACAACGAACTCTGCTCAGGAGTCACCGGTTCCTCCTCCGCCAAGTCCGTCGGTGGCACTGATGAAGGTCGACCACGACGTCTCTTCACACTCTCCTCTTCAACAAACAACTCACTGACACCGGATACACGCGGAGTTCGCACAGACTTCGGCGTTCTCATCAACCTCTTTACTCCTGTCAAACCAGCATTCTTCGTTGGAGACAACGAACTCTGCTCAGGAGTCACCGTTTCCTCCTCCGCCAAGTCCGTCGGAGCCACTGGTGAAGGTCGACCACGACGTCCCTTCACACCCTCCTCTTCAACAAACAACTCACTGACACCGGATACACGCGGAGTTCGCACAGACTTCGGCGTTCTCATCAACCTCTTAACTCCTGTCAAACCAGCATTCTTCGTTGGAGACAACGAACTCTGCTCAGGAGTCACCGGTTCCTCCTCCGCCAAGTCCGTCGGTGGCACTGATGAAGGTCGACCACGACGTCTCTTCACACTCTCCTCTTCAACAAACAACTCACTGACACCGGATACACGCGGAGTTCGCACAGACTTCGGCGTTCTCATCAACCTCTTAACTCCTGTCAAACCAGCATTCTTCGTTGGAGACAACGAACTCTGCTCAGGAGTCACCGGTTCCTCCTCCGCCAAGTTCGTCGGTGGCACTGATGAAGGTCGACCACGACGTCTCTTCACACTCTCCTCTTCAACAAACAACTCACTGACACCGGATACACGCGGAGTTCGCACAGACTTCGGCGTTCTCATCAACCTCTTTACTCCTGTCAAACCAGCATTCTTCGTTGGAGACAACGAACTCTGCTCAGGAGTCACCGGTTCCTCCTCCGCCAAGTCCGTCGGTGGCACTGATGAAGGTCGACCACGACGTCTCTTCACACTCTCCTCTTCAACAAACAACTCACTGACACCGGATACACGCGGAGTTCGCACAGACTTCGGCGTTCTCATCAACCTCTTTACTCCTGTCAAACCAGCATTCTTCGTTGGAGACAACGAACTCTGCTCAGGAGTCACCGGTTCCTCCTCCGCCAAGTTCGTCGGTGGCACTGATGAAGGTCGACCACGACGTCTCTTCACACTCTCCTCTTCAGCAAACAACTCACTGACACCGGATACACGCGGAGTTCGCACAGACTTCGGCGTTCTCATCAACCTCTTAACTCCTGTCAAACCAGCATTCTTCGTTGGAGACAACGAACTCTGCTCAGGAGTCACCGGTTCCTCCTCCGCCAAGTTCGTCGGTGGCACTGATGAAGGTCGACCACGACGTCTCTTCACACTCTCCTCTTCAACAAACAGCTCACTGACACCGGATACACGCGGAGTTCGCACAGACTTCGGCGTTCTCATCAACCTCTTAACTCCTGTCAAACCAGCATTCTTCGTTGGAGACAACAAACTCTGCTCAGGAGTCACCGGTTCCTCCTCCGCCAAGTCCGTCGGTGGCACTGATGAAGGTCGACCACGACGTCTCTTCACACTCTCCTCTTCAACAAACAACTCACTGACACCGGATACACGCGGAGTTCGCACAGACTTCGGCGTTCTCATCAACCTCTTTACTCCTGTCAAACCAGCATTCTTCGTTGAAGACAACAAACTCTGCTCAGGAGTCACCGGTTCCTCCTCCGCCACGTTCGTCGGTGGCACTGATGAAGGTCGACCACGACGTCTCTTCACACTCTCCTCTTCAGCAAACAGCTCACTGACACCGGATACACGCGGAGTTCGCACAGACTTCGGCGTTCTCATCAACCTCTTAACTCCTGTCAAACCAGCATTCTTCGTTGGAGACAACGAACTCTGCTCAGGAGTCACCGGTTCCTCCTCCGCCAAGTCCGTCGGTGGCACTGATGAAGGTCGACCACGACGTCTCTTCACACTCTCCTCTTCAACAAACAACGCGCTGACACCGGATACACGCGGAGTTCGCACAGACTTCGGCGTTCTCATCAACCTCTTTACTCCTGTCAAACCAGCATTCTTCGTTGGAGACAACGAACTCTGCTCAGGAGTCACCGGTTCCTCCTCCGCCAAGTCCGTCGGTGGCACTGATGAAGGTCGACCACGACGTCTCTTCACACTCTCCTCTTCAGCAAACAGCTCACTGACACCGGATACACGCGGAGTTCGCACAGACTTCGGCGTTCTCATCAACCTCTTAACTCCTGTCAAACCAGCATTCTTCGTTGGAGACAACGAACTCTGCTCAGGAGTCACCGGTTCCTCCTCCGCCAAGTCCGTCGGTGGCACTGATGAAGGTCGACCACGACGTCTCTTCACACTCTCCTCTTCAACAAACAACTCACTGACACCGGATACACGCGGAGTTCGCACAGACTTCGGCGTTCTCATCAACCTCTTTACTCCTGTCAAACCAGCATTCTTCGTTGGAGACAACAAACTCTCCTTAGGATTGGCTGATTCTTTTTTCGCGAATTCGGTTGGTGGCAGTGATTTTGACCGACTGGGATTGTTATTTCGTTTTGTTTTGCTTGTTATGAGATGGGGAAGACTAAAATTTGTTTTTTCTAAATCACTTTTCGACTGATCAAAGCTGTCTGGTAATTCGTTGTGATATTTTTCGCTGCAATCTTTTTTCGGATTTCCTTCATTACGATTGGTAGTAGCAGGACTAGTTGGGGGGACTTTAGGTGACAGCGTTTTGCTTATTTTCACTGGAAACCCTAGCGAATGTCTTTTCAGATTTTTTCGGTTTGCTGGATACGTTTTTATTGGAGCAGAATAAGCTGCAGAAGTCACGGGACAAGTAGTAAAACTTGCAGGAGCATAAGTTGTATCAGTACTCAAGGAATTGAGAAGATTAGTGTCTGGTGTTGGAGGGAGTGAGATGACCGCAGAAACTCGATTGTTAGTTAAATTATAGTTTGGAGATTGAGGTGTCGTTTCGAAGAAGGCCGATAATTGTGTTACTTGTGACAATCGAGCTTTGGAAGCAAACGGTGTAGCTGAGCGCCCAACAACTGGAGTTACCTGGAAACTTTGATTCGCAGGGGTACTATGACTTAGTTTAGTCAGCGGAGTTTCTCCTCGCTTAACTGGAGTAGATGGTGGAAGAGATTTATGAAACTGTTCAGGGCTTAAGGGTGGCCCAAACGAAACCCCTCTCCGACGTATAGGAGCAATCATATCCTCAGCAGCTGGATAGGTTTTCTCGGATATTATACGTTTACTACTATGGTAATTGAATTCTTTTTCGGTTTCTGGTGAGTATGCTGAGCTGATTCCCTCCAATGAATTTATCGACAAGGATTTTTTCGCAACTTTTACGGAATTCGGTGACACAACCAAATCTGGAACACATCCATTGGGATCTTTTTCTGTTGGATTGTTAGTATGGTTATCGTAAAAAGATTCATTCACTTGTCCATTAGATGACTTTTTGCCTCCAATTTTCCGTCGCATTTCACAATCTGATTCATCATAACATTGATCAACTTTGTAAAGGTTGGATTTGTTAGATGCATTTAGAATGAGTAGCTTATGGAAACTCTTTCGAAAGCCAGGTGAACGTCTATTTTCATTTGGTGTTAAGCTTAAGCGGTCATTAGTTAATGTAGACGTAATAACAGGAGTTTCAATGTGGTTGTGTGGCCTCGATTTCACAGATGACAAAATACCACTCGAGGTATGGGATGTTGAATTTGTAAAATCAGAAATCACTAGTGACTTTTGGTGATTATTCGGTTTGGAAACATTTATATCAGTAAAGCTATCAGCCATACGATTATCCAAATTTTGTTTACGACATTCGTCATTTCCCGCTTGAAAAAGAGGTAAGTGCTTCGACTGTGATGAATTAAGTTCGTGTCGAAGTACTTGAATTACTGGTGGGGTGGATGGTTGACGAGGAGGAACTGGACCATAACGTTCACTAGTCCCTAGAGTTCTTTTCGGAGTCGTAGATCTTTGTCGAGGAGGGCGGATGGCACGATTAGACAATATCTTTTTAGAAGTGCTACGTTTAGATGGATGAACGATGGGTAGAGAATTTGGAGTAAAAGCCTCTTCGTTTTTGGGGGAGCTTGGTTGTTTGCTGGACATTTCGCATAAAAGGTCATCCGTCATAGCCTTTTGAATCTGAGATCGGGGTAAACAAATTTTAATGCATGCATTATAACATTTTAGTATCGGCCAGAAAATTTTGTTATCACATCTCAAATGAAAGGAAACCTCCATAAAACACATTGACTAAATGAAAACTTGTCACCTATAAATATAAGTTAAGGACGCTTATTTTACAGGATTAGGAGAGCAACCCAAATGTGCTACCGGTCAAACTTGAATTCAATGGTAACTTTCATACAAGCTGTAATGATGGCTTAAAATGCAATTTGTCTGAACTCTGGACAGTGTGAAAGAATTTAAGCTAAGGAAACGGTTCAAAACCATCTCAAGTAACTAGAAATGCATTGTCGCAATTTGTTTATACACTTTACCATTCAACTCTGAGATAGGGGTAAAGCATTTTTGACATGCTCATCGAAAATTTCAACATACTACACTCAAGGAAAAGCAGTGTATGTGTAATGGAAATGAAAAACAAGTTAGGAGATAAGTATGACGCCATGCGCATAACTTAGGAAAAGATTTGGTGGAATAATTCGACCAATTCTGACGCATTTTCACCCGTCACCAGGATCCGCTATCCTGAGAACATTACTCTGGGGTTCTACATTTTATCAGACTTAAACGAAGTCAAAGTCTACAAGCGATACACCATATTATGGCCTATATGGCTATATAAAGCCAAGCCGTACTTTTTGTAGCCTGTTGCACTTAACACTACACAAACTACTACCTAACCAAACGCTCAAATCGTTGACGAATTAATATTATTTTGATGTAAGCGAATTAGTTCGAGATTTTTAAGGCAAAAGCGCTTGTTTAACTTTATTTTGTGTCATAATCCCGTGATGAAACCACAGTAGAAAGGACATACTAGCTTTGCAATCTAGACTAGTCACGAATGAACTAAACATTGATTTATTCATTCAGACATAAATACTGGTACAAAAATATATGCCATACAAAAAGAGATTTTGAAGAGATAAAAAAGAACGAAAATTAATAAGAACAGTTGAATTAGTGAACAAAGTTGTGGGAAAGGCAGTTCGGTTAGGAGAAATGCGATCAGAAAAGATTCTTTCAGTTGAAGTCCCTCTCACTTATATGAAATGAACGAGGACTGCAGCAAGACCACCACCAGCGTTTATTCGGAACCATGTCTGATAACATCTCAAGCCCATGAGCCGAATATTTTATAAGACGCCAACCAGGGAGCCGTGGAGAACCTAATACGGAATTGGAGCTTTAGTCTACATTGACTCCTGTATCTTCTGTACTGTTATGAAGTTCCCGAAGGTAGGAAAGACACCACGAGGAAACCTCTCACGGTTCTACTTAATGATAGCAAAGCTAAGAATATATTTCAGGAACAACTCGAAAAAGTTATGCAGCGATGTAAGTGATCCCCATAGAGGCAGCTTGGAACGATATCAAAAAAGTCATGAAAACAAGTGCGATATCTACTAGTGAGGTAAACCATAAGGTTAGGGAGAAACACTGAATCTCAGTAGCATCCACCGAAATGCTCGGGAACTCATCCTATCTGTCTCTGAACATAACGAAGAGTGGAGTCAGCTTAAGCACAAGCTGATAAGAAGCCTACACAATGATCGCGAACAATGGTGAGTAGCGAATGCAAAGGAGATAGAAAAGGCAATGGCGATAGGCAACAGTAGACAGCTGTTCAGAATTATCAAGGAAACCGGTATTAGATATCCACTGTATGAGACTATCGCGGAAAATCAAGGGTATATTTTTTATTCTCAGCCTAGGATATTGGGTCGATAGACAGAACTCTTTAAGGACCAGTTTAATTGGCCTTCAGCCAAACATTGGTTACCTACGATCTCCAGCCAACTTAAATGGCAAATTGATGGAAATCCTCCAAATCTTACCAAAGTTTAGAAGGCTAAAGGAGATATGAAGCAAGGGAGATCAGCGGGCCCTGGAAAGTTAACCTCTGAAATTTTTATTGGTGAATGGCCCAGTTTTAGCAGTTAGATTGACTAAGATCTTAGGTAGAATTTGGGAACTAGACGTAATCCCATCTGACTGGTTTTCATCTCCGATTGTCCCGGTCTATATGAAAGGACAAAAGTCCTCTTGTGACAACCACAGAGGAATCAGGTTAACTAACATAATGCCCAAATTGCCATCCTTGATAATAATTCGACGCCTAACTAGAGCTCGTGAAGAGCAGACTCAAGAAAACCGAGCTGGTTTTCGAGTTAGACGTGGCTGTATAGACCAGACATTCACACTTCGATATGTTCTAGAACACAAACACACACTTTGGCGTCCGACAATAGTTGTCTTCCTCGAGCCTAAGGTGGCATTTGACTCTTTACATTGAGATTCCGCATCAGTGTCTGTTATTGAAAGGAGTACCAAAGTACATTAGCCTTATAAAAGCTCTCTACTTGAACACTACTGGTTGAATGAGAGCTTATGACGAGCTTCCACCGAAATTGATTACTTCAAGTGGTGTTTTTCAGGGTCGCCCACTTCCTGCATTCTTGTTTAACTTTATTTTTGGCGTGCTTTTAGAGTCGACACTTTCATCGACTGACTTTCCAGGAGTTGGACCTTTACCGGGAGATTCACTCCTAGTAGACTTAGGATATGCCAATCACAGGTTGGCTTAGAATATACGGGTGACTTAGTTCTATTTGGTTAAGACGCTGACAAAATGCTGTCTTTTGACCGCCTCAAGCAACAATGCATTTCGGAATGCGATCCTCCCCCGAAATGCGAAATATTGCTTCAGGATTTGTCTGCGTCGGAACCTGAACTAGTGATAGTAGTTGAGACTTGACCGCCTCACTTAGGAGTCTCATCAGTGCTGATGGTCTGGTAACTGAAGAAACCTCGGTACGGATACAGAAGGCTCGACTGGCTGTTGCTAACTTGAGTCATTTATGGCGCAGGCGAGATATCTAACAACTAAAGGATGGGTTTACCGCGCATCAGTTTGCTCTGTCCTACTTTACGGTTGTGAATGACAACCAAGAGTAATGGTTTTCGACCATAGCTGTCCCCGAAGCATTGCTCGTATATCCCGAGACAATCGAGTAAGCAATTCTGTTGTTAAGAAACGGGCAGTAGGTAAGCATGGCAGACCACTATATGAAGTATTGAAACTTCATCAGTTGAGGTGGTTGGGACATGTGTTACGAATGCCCAACCACTGCCCCGACGAGCGATGTTTTGTGGTGTGATAGGAAGGAAGAAACCTAGGAATGACCAGACCAAAACATGCTACGAACCTATGAAGTCACTGACAAGTGGACTGAGTCATGTTGGTAGGTGTGTACTGCCTGGTTGGGGTCCGCGAAACAATAGTAACCGATGGTTAAAGACCTTGGGTGACATGACTTAAAACCGTCTGCAATAGCGCTGGTGCATCCACTTTGTGTTCCTCCAAACTCTAATCTGAATTCCTCATGATCATCATCTTTCTCTTCTCAAATTTTTCCACTAATTTATACTTCTTGAATGACATTTTAAAAGTCCAATCCTCTTTACTTCCGCTCATACTCCTAATACTTCTACTACTATGGGATTCAAATAGATAATTACATCTCTATGAAATTGTGGTATGGCAACTTGAACTGATGTACGTACATATGAGATTCTATATTGTTGCTGACTGACGCGCTCGTTTCGTTGATCTTGGATACCGGTGGTTTCGTTATCGTTTAGTCTTCCTGGTTTACTATACTTTCCAGCGAACCTCTTCGTAGTGTAATATGATTGTCGCATGTTTCCTCTTGCAGCGGTTTCTGCTACTATAGCTAGATCTCCAACTATACTGTTCCACTTCACTTGTTTGTTTGCTTCCGGATATACTATTGGTGTGCTTCATATTAACAGTACATCTAAACTGAAAATTTGGCTGCACATTTGTGATTATTGCTAACTTGTACGGGATCATTAGCAAAGTTTGTTAAGATTACCAGGACCTGGTCAAACTGAGTCACGGACATGATATGCAACGTATTTGATAGTACTATTTGATACATGTATGATCGGACTTACGGCCTATGAGGAGTTTACTAGTGTAGATGCACACGACATTTCTTAGTAATCTAGGAGCTTCAGGAAAATTTCAATGTAGCTGGAGATTTTAAATAAGTCTGCAGGTTACTAAGAATGCACAAGATGAAGTCAAACGATACCAAAAATTAAATGCTCTGAAGCAAGATCTACCTAAGTATCATACCAAATGAGTCATTTTTTACAACAAATGGTTTTTAAATAAATAATAGAGAACTATCCTATTATACACATCAAAGATAGCGGGAAGCATACAATATTGCATACCAATCTTGGGAGAGAATTCAATTTGATACCAGTCAAAACCAAAATGTTTTCGAATAAATAGACTTACCGATGGATAGAAGAAGCGAAACTGACGATCTCCGACAGTTAGTACACTATTGTCAGACAAAACGCAAGCATCTTTCAACGGGGAATCATTAACTAACATTTTGTATTGTCCGTCAGCCCTGCTGACAGCCTGAACCAATCCATTTCTCATCAATTGCAGTGTACAATGAAATGGAGCAACTGTTGAATGTTTCACACGAATGTCACAAGACGGGTTACTGTGAAAATGTTGCAAGTGAGTAACTTATTTATTTACCTTCCAATATCACACAAAGGTGAACACCAATCGCAAGTCAAGCCATCAGTACCGTCCCTACGAATAACAACTATATGTCCACTAGGATTCATGCGTTCAACCATATCCCCGAATACTTAGATCAACACAACCGGACAACTGGAACCCGTCAGGTTTGAATTCAAAATCTAAACTATAGGACTTGACGGCCTTCATCTATTAACATTTCAGATTAACAAAACACTTGACAAAAACGAGCAACAAAAATAAACCTTGTAATTTTTTGGGGGAATAGAGCTTTAAAATATCAATATTTACGTACTGAAGCAAACACAATATCAAATAATTAAGATCGTATTTTTATTCACTAACTCAAACTACTCTAACATACATTGTATCTCTGGAAAGCCAGTATGCACTATTTACTTGCCATCCTGGATAGGTAAACATCAGATTTACAGTATTTGTCACTTATTTTAGATTTGATAAGGCAAAGCAATGAACGAGCTACAATGATTCTCCACAAAGCTGCAAACATTTTCCACAGAAGCCAATGCAACAATTTCATGTAATTCGATTCTAGTGACAAACTGATGTGACAAATTAAGTCTGATGGTTAAGAGTGAGTCATCAGCCTCCTAGTAAGATGAAAATATCATACCTAAAGTATTCATGTCCTTTCTAATTTTTCATAGGCATTAGATTTGGTGCCACCTACAATCATTTTGCTGAAGGAACATAGATTTGCAAATCTCTCACCGTTTTCGTTCTATTCTCCCAGTCCATATCGCCCCATGATGTCATCGTATCTAGTGTTGTCCATTCCAACCTTGATATTTATGTTTCCTATCAGAATGGTCAAGTCCCTTTCTGATCATTTCTCTACGATTGAATGCAGCCACTTGTTTTGAGGGTTGGTTTGATTATCTTGGATGCATTGTATTCCTATCTTATAAGGGTAGTTCCGGTTTATTTTGACAGCATCAATGCAAGTAATTGTGTATGCAGTGCATTTTCTTCTTCATGGTCGGGGTAAGAATTCATCTTCTCTGAAACTAGCATTGATGCTATAGGTTTCACCGTGCTGAAACACCACTTTGTTGTAGCTTTTGATTTCCACAAGAACTTGAACATATATGCCGGCTTTCTACAGTGCATGGGGAGTCCATGTACCTATACTGATTGCTGTGTGCGATTTTTGTATATAGCAGGTACAAATATCTCGGTGTTATCATAAATGAAGATGAAAGACTATCAGACAATATTGAAGATGTTAAAAGCATGCTCAGGTCAACGTACCTCACTCTACGAAATTCCGAAGACTAGCTAATAAACACAGAGATCTGTCGCCTCCGGTGGAGTTACACAGGTAAGTGTTTAATATCCGCTCTTGTTCCTAGTGTACGTAAACGACATACGTAACACTATAAAATTCGGAAGAATATACCTATTCGGATGATCCACAAATAGCATACAGCTCGGGTCCAGAGTGGCCTTGAAAATATGTCCAGCTGGAGCAAGACATGGTACCTACCTTGTGACTACAACAATTATGGCGTCGTGCATTTTAGTCAGCATTACCACGAAATACCACTCTACTCACAAAATGGTAGCTTTTACCCACTCGAATATGCGCACGATCACGGTATTCAATAATCCGGAAGCCTAAAATTTGAAGAATATGCATCTTCTGTTATCTTTAAATCCATAGGGCTTATGAGGCTTAAAAACAAGAACATATTGACTAATGAGGTGAAAAAAGTAGTGGGAAAGGCAGTTCGGTTAGGAGAAATGCGATCAGAAAAGATTCTTTCAGTTGAAGTCCCTCTCACTTATATGAAATGAACGAGAACTGCAGCAAGACCACCACCAGCGTTTATTCGGAACCATGTCTGATAACATCTCAAGCCCATGGGCCGAATATTTTATAAGACGCCAACCAGGGAGCCGTGGAGAACCTAATACGGAATTGGAGCTTTAGTCTACATTGACTCCTGTATCTTCTGTGCTGTTATGAGGTGTTATGATGGACTGATAGACTGCTACCTAAACTTGTTTCTCCCAAGATGAGCATAGGCCGACACAGTAAATGGCACCCAAATAACGGATGTGGTATAATTATAGTGGTGATGAGTCAACTCAAATAACAAAAAATACTTTGTTGGAGGGATTTACCGACCCTCCTGTAGTACTAAGGCCTACAAAGATAAGTTGACTTAGGCAATACTTCATCTGCCACTTCTTTAATTCAATCAAACACTCTGGAGATTTTAACATTTCATCTCTAAATCTCAGCGAATAGTGTACAACTTCCACAAGTCGGTTCCACGGGCGACTTGGAGCAGCCATTAAGAGTTCCGGACTGACTAAGCATGTACGCAGCGCCACTAAGGAATGAAAATCCATAAAATAGGATTATTTTTTAACAAATGATCAGCTGCTGGCCGAGGATGTTTATGTCCATACACCAACGGTATGTATTGATCACGGTAGTCATGTTTTACCTTGTCATAAGCGAATTATTTTGTCGGGACGAGAATGAGCTCTATCCTTATTACACTACGGCAAAATATATACTCATGAGAGAGCATCTTCCACATCTTCCATGGCCACGGAAATGATGGAAGCCAACAGTAGATAATCACTGGTAGATAGTGAGAGACATCATTCTGGGTGCTGTTCTATTGAATATACCTTAGACAAACCATGGTGTTTGCGCTGTCAAATGTACGAATGTTGAAGATCTTATCAACTTACAGATAGCTGAGATCTTCGATGCTAAATTCACCAAACAGTTAAAACAGGTACATACAAGTTCATAGTACTATTGAAACATTGTGTCAGCTGATGGCCCAGAGAATATCCAACTTCTGATTTAGTAATAAAATAACTAAAATCTCTGCGCCAGGATGTGACAATATTTGCCCCCATAATCTTGAAACTTTGTGCAGAAGCTCTAAGTTCACCGATTTGTGACCTGTTCAGGCATTTAATGGGGTCACAACAACTCACAGCTGAACAGAAACAAGCTACTCTCTCCAGTCTTCGAAAGAGGGGATAGGCAGGACTCGGACTGTTACACACCACTCTGTCAGTAAACAACAACAAAGAACTTCGAAGGTACGCAAATCATTCCTGGTCTCCAAACCAGATTATCTCAGAGATGCGATTGTCGCTTCGAAGTCCATAGTAGTAGAGGTAGTAAAAGTATTAGCAGTACTCGGAAAGACCGGGGTTCGATGATATTATAAAAGAAGCAGAATGTAGTGAAATAAACTTAAAACAAAAGATAAAGGTGATGAGGAAATCTGAAGGTTAGGATTTTAGAGATCGCAAAGAATGAGCACACCTGCGCTATTGCAGATGGTTTTGAGCCATGATATTCAGGGTCTCTAATCATAGATTACAATGATCTCGCGGGCCCCAGCCGGGTAGTCGACGCCTATCAACATGAATCAATCCACTTGTCACTGAGTTTATGGATTTGTGACATGCTTTGGTCCGGCCGCCCCTAGCTTTCTTCCAACCTATTCCTACACCACAAAACATGGCTCGACGAGGCAGTCGGTAGCTAGGCATACGCAACACATAACCCAGCCACCTCAACTAGTGAAAACGCTGACATAATGCACTGTATCCTGACTATACTCAGCAACAACGAAAGCATGTTTGGGATGCGGTCCTCTCCGTCGAAATGCAAAATGTTGCTTCAGGATTGGCTTTTATAGGCACCTGAACAGGCAATTCGCAATACTACCAATACTACCGAAGATAATCGAAGGGCTTGTGGACGAACAGATGAGGGAGTTTATGGATATGAAAAAATACTCCTCGAAGACTGCACCGGTTTCGGAAATGCAGTTCGTGTGCATCTTCTCAAAGCATGGCAAGGCTGGGAAACCTTCTGGAACCAAAAAATGCCAGTTGACCTAATCTTTCTTGACTTTCCAAGAGCCTTTACTTGATTTTAATGATTGTAAGTAGCTGAAAAGAAATTATGAAATAAGATGAATGAGTGCTATTCTTTCAGGTTCATTATTACTGCTTTGTCCAAACTTAACAATGGCAACTATTGTGCGGAAGGCACACTACTTAGTTTTATAAACTATTCGTTGCTGTTATTTCTGTCACTCTTTTTTGTTTTCCTTCCATTTTTCAGCATCACGAATGTAACATGCCACTGTTAACCTTAGAGCACTCAGGAGCTCTCCAAGATCTCGGTTTGTACGTGACATCATTTTAAAGGATTATAACGACAGTGAATTAATAGAGAAATACAACTATCCGATCATATATTTTCAATGATTTTATTTATTGTTTGGTCCTGCTTTAGCAGTATCATATATATAGACCTATTTTGTGAATAAATGATCATGTTGATTGATATGACATATACTTGAAAGCTCAGTCAGAAAATGTGACTGACAGATTGCGGATCTTGGGAATGAATGAGTATTTAACAAGGATTATCGTTATTTTGGGTTGTAAGCTCACAACCAAATGCTAAAGTAGTAGTTAAAGCCCGAAAAATAAACTAGTCAGCTGCCATCACTGTTAGTATATTTATAACACTTCTGAGCTCCAGCATCTTTTCCACAGAAACTATTTTAACGCAACATAAATGAACGACAAAGTCTTCGGATAATTCCATCATTAGATAATATTCACACTTCTATCTTATACTATCTCCTGTCATCTACTAAAATTTACCTAATGCTAGTCAAGTCATTGAGACGGACCAGATTCAATCGGAATGGAAGGTTGCCTGTTGAAATGTTGGAATCCAGTACGAACGGACAAAACCAACATTTCCAATAAGGCAACTATGTTGATTTATTTACGTAGGTAAATTCCTTCGTCACCCTAATACAGTTAGGCAGACAAAAATGTGGACGGACACAAAATCGTAAACACTCATTTTAAGGAGTGTATACATCACAAATGGAGAAGCGCACAATTTATCAAGTATTATGGTAACGTTTATCAGCAATACGTAAATTTATGTGACTAATTAGACCAACGTTTACAATTCTTCATAACTGGGAGATCTGTAGCCCTTTTGTTCACCTGTGGGTGACTTTTTCCCCATTAATCTGATATTGTCGACGGTTCCAAGAGCAGAATAACACATATCTGTAATTACTCAATTACTGTGAAGCTTAATCTAAAGGAACTGCCTCCTTGATGGCTCAGCGACTAAGAGATATGTTATGTGAGATGTTATAAATGTGAATTACAATCTTGTTAACCCAGAGTCCAAGAGTAGACATATTAAATTGACTATATTGATTTTCAAGGAACCTGTAGTTCATTTTCACCAGTCCCCGACCGAAGCAATAATGTTTCTGGAGGCCACAAACTAGCTGGAGGAGAAGGCCTAGTATATTATCTTCAAAATCCGTGTTTCCGTCTACACCCATTCCTTAATGTTCTTCAGATGAAGCTCATTGATTAGACTGAGGTTATAAAAGTTCTATTTAGTGTAACGCGCCTTAAGTTTACTTTATTTGTCATCTTATTTGTCATTAGCTGTAGATTCATTTACTTACAAAGTAGGAATACATAAAAACCCACCCAGTTAACGATATTCTGACAGCTCTAGAAGAGAGGAATATGTATATTTTTACCATAAGGGGGAAAAACCTTGATTGTTGAAGAATCCAGACTCTTTTAGTCAGTTTTCACCCTCCAAAAACCAATATGATGATTCTTACGATAAAATGTAGTTGAAAATTTCCTTCTGTGTTGGTTTAAACTTTTACTCTATGCTCTCCTTTAACTTTACAGATTTTCTGTATGTAGAGCTTGCGTGACAACGGATTGTTGTTTATTGCCATTGTTATCGAATGTAAGTTCATTTTATGTACTCTTTGGGTTGTCTGTTTCCATCATTTCCAGTTCTCTCCACTGCACGACCCTCTAGTAAACAATATATCTTCTGGTAAGACATGAATCGCTACACTTTTCATTGAAGTCACTGTAATTCTAAAAATTCTGTCTATAAAGACAAAATGTTGTTTATCGACCGATAGGTTTGTTATACAGGATAACTTTTTGAATGGACAGTAAGAGTGGGTTGTTTATATTTTTATCCAGTAGCTGCGGGTTTGGATGGCGATGGTTATATCTCTCCACTTAGTAATTGGTACTTTCATTTTCTTTTAAAGACAGTATCTCATAGTTTACTTCGTACATCTAACCCTTAAGATGACATTATCGGCTGATCCAGATCACTGTCCAGGTAAAAATTTTTAAATCTAGCATTAGCCACTGTTTTTAATTGTACATTAATATCAAAATAAAGTTGAAATGTAACCGACCATTTTGTTTTGAAATGAGTAGTATACTTAACAGTTGCTTTACAACGCCATATTGTTGGATTTTGGATATCAAAACATCCCAATATTCCAACTTTGGCCAGATATTGGTTGAACTTTAAACTGTCTCCAAAGTCATTCTAAAATTCATGGTTATCCTCGAACTAAGTTGAAATGTTTAGGGTCTTATGTCATATCTCCCGAAATTGATAATACTTACTTTTAAGTTAGAGTATTGAACTCTTATTCGTTCATTCTAGTCTTTAACTTATTAACAAATACGCATTCCTCAATAACTCATTTATCAACTATTTTTCGAGGCAGTCGTTGTGTAATATTATTAAATGGATTTTTGGCGTATTCTATCCCTAAATTGAACTGTGAAACTTTATACGGATGATTGGAAACAAGTGCACAGTTTTCCAACACATTATTTTTTATTTCTCACGTAACTGTCAAACGAGACCATCAGCAGAGAACCTAGAAGACAACATCTAAATATTTTGATAGGTAAGGGAACTATAGAAGCAAAAAGACTTATAACATAACAGCGCAGTGAATAACCTTTATATGACTATAACAGCAAAAACGAAAAACATGTTTATGTTAAGAATGAACTTATGCTACAATACAATGGAAAAATTATGATCTGAGATTGACTGAGTAGTAAGCGTACTATCGCAGTGGTTTGTAGTAGTTGAGTGACTAGTACTATTGTGATATCTCAAAAACTTGTGTAATATTTTAGATCCCATGACCTTTGTTTTTAGTCTGATTACTATCTAACCTCATTACCTCGAAGTATGGTAGTCTCATTGTACGTCAACAAAAAAAACATCATGATCTATAGATATATACCACCACTTACTTATCTCTGTTATCTCCCATGGAGAAAAGACCGCCGACCAGGATTCTCCAACCAACTCTGTTGTGAGTTTTCCTTTCCGCTTCTCAGGTGCTATCCATTCTTTTGATGTCTGCCTCTGATTCCTGACAGTGTGCTCTTTGGTCTTCCTCTCTTCTTTTGGTCTTGAGACTTCTGAGTTGGGACTTACCTTTTGACTCATTTGGGTGCTTTTCGCAGTAGGTATCCTACTTATTCCCAGAGTTTGTTCTCTATTTCTTCCTCACCTAGAGTCTGGTTTGTTCGCTCTCACTGTACATTGTTGCTGACCGTGTCCAACCAACGGACCCGAAGTATCTTGTATAGACAGCCAGTAAACACCCGTATCTCTTGAATGATGGCTTTCGCATTTCAAGATGCAAGCCATTTCAACCAAAGCTTGTGTATTTCACTGACTATGGTTCTAATAGTGAGATAATTTGTGACTTTTTAATAAATCTTGGAAGAAAATTATAGTTTTATTTACTTAACTGCAATTTCAGTGATTACCTGATTAATAGGGATTATAAGCGATAAATATTGAAATCTATAGAAAGCTTAAGTCTACCAATCAAATGCAATCAAGTGCAACTTGTGGCAAGTTTGACCACATTTTTATCAGACTGTCATTGAAATAAACGAAGTTATTCAATAGCTAAATGACTTTTTCCTATAGAAAAAAATCGAAACATTAGATTTAACAGACTACGGCGTTAATAGATGACATATTGTATTAAATGTTCAGTAACGCGGTATATACATATATATATATAATCCATGTATTCCCTTTAAGAAGTCGATAAGTTATAATATTGACTCGACCAGTAAATATTTATGTTTAGATCTATGCGTATGTACACATATCTTCTGATTTTTATTTGCCACATTTTTATTTTATTTTTTGTTTACACTTAAGGTCAACGAATTAAATGTTACAGTTGTAATTCTGTTGAAGACAATAACTGCAATGATCCATTTTTTCGACAACCACAACAAACTAGATCATTTTCTTTGGTAGATTGTAACGACTATTGTTTCAAGTGGGCTTTTCAAGGTCCAGGTAAACTAAACAAACTTTTTAATGTATGCACAATTTTTATAGTTAATTCAAACATAGATGTGTATGATTCTGTTTTATACTACACTATTTGTTTCGATCAACTTCTAAATATTAGTGTCATGAAAATACATTTTGTATAAATTGTATTTATCAATAGAACAACTTTTCTTGAAGTTAGTGGTGAGATTACTAGTATGTAAATTTATGATTGAATCTGGCTGTCATATGTTTTTAAGTTAACTAGAAAAAAATTCTATGTAAACGAGTTAAGGTAAGTAATAATTTATTTACTTACCCAACTAGAATCTTCATCCAGTAATTATGTAATGCATATAATAGTACGGATTGAGTTATTATAAAGTGAGGTTAGTGTTCAATGATCCTGGGATGTAGAAGCTGTACGACAACCTGCTTAAACTTCTGCGTCATCAATGTTACAATTGTGTTTATATTGTCATGGATCCTCAGCTTTTAGCCGTATTTTAATTAACTAATTATTTCTGTTGACAATTTACTTATATGCCCTTACGGAATTTCTACAACCGTTCGCAAATTTAATTACTGAAGGACTCAGGAAGTACCTCTATGATAGTTCATGTTCTCTATCCTTTTGAGAAACAAAGTATATTCGGTAATGGAGGAATAAACGTCATAAGCACAAGAATGATTGTAAATATTGAGAGATAAATATGTATGGCAGATAATTGTTGTTTAAGAACTTATACACGTTTTTTGAATATTCAAAAGTGAATTATTTATAAACCGATTATTTTGTTACAGTTTTGCACTATTTTGTACTGAGAATTTCCTATATTGATCAAACACATGATGTTAAAAAGTGAATACCACCAGGCTTATTCAATAAAGTGTGCCACTGTATACGACGTAATATTGTAATATTAACTGACTGAAATCTTAAAGCTAACTAAAAAATCGCCGTAAAAAATCTTGTGCTAATAATAACCGGTGGATGAGAAAACTTCAAGTCATGAAGATATAGAAACAGTCATATACATTAGTTATACTTTGTTTTATTAAGCCTGAAGTTGGTCAAAGTATAAAAAATGACTGGTGTATGTTCTGTCTATTTTAGAATACTTTCATTTAATTAATACATAAGGAATGATTTCTTCATTTCCTTTGCACAAGCTATTAGCTGTTTGAACTCATGAACTCAGTAGATAACCAATTGATTATTAAAAGAATTAGCACTGGTTTTTAGTTTCAACGTGAACGTCAACACTATGATACAGGGAAATCTACTTAGTTTCAAATGAAACGAATGCATGTACCGAATTACCTTGCTAGCCATTATCCAACTTTGTTATAAAGCATTTCGTTTGACTAAGCATTAAGTTTGATCTAATCATATAATCTACTAGGCTTTTTATTTCTGCTTGTTATCAGGTTAAACCATTATCTTTACAAGAAGTTATTGAAATATGTTAAATTGCATATTATTTGAGTAATAACGTATTTGCTTCATTTGTTAGTTATAGTATATCCCAAATTTAAAAATAGCATGTTCTGAATGACATTTATGAGTATTATTCATCTGAATTGATCTCGGCATTTCTGAAGGTCGTCTACGGTTGAGAAAATGAATACGAGAACAATGAAGAGCTTTTAACACATATGTATTCGGTTTACAACAGAAATCTTGTTCATGTGAACCAGATGTTTATCGTAATTTCACTGATCTGTTGCATTTTTAAAGAAGTCAAGAAAATTCAATCCAGATAACTTCAATTCTTACTTGAACTGGTACATAATACTTGTAATATGTTCAGTTTCCATATTTCACAGCGTCTCTGATTGTCCCATTAGATGTCCTGAGTCATAATTTCATAGATTGTATCAATTCCCATGAAATGATAGATATACTTTATCGACAAGGCCTTCTACTGATTATTTCTTATCATCAATATACGATGTACTTATGGATTGAGAACTTTTTTCTTACTAGCTTGACCAGATCATCTGACAATACATAGTCTACTAATGGCTCGTTTACTTTATGCCTATTAAACCGACTATTTTCTGTCAACCGATGATACAAAGTCAGTCAGTCCGTTACAACGTGGAACTTCGTACATGGGTACATAAGTTCAAGTTGCCATACCCCATCAGCACAGAGACGGAACTGTCAGTTCAAATCCCATAGTGGTAGCGATAGTAGAAGTAATAACAGCAATGGAAAAGACTATGGTTCGAAGATATGATTCAAGAAGTATATATCAGTGATATAACTTTATAAAGAGAAAGATAGAGATGATGATGATGATACAAAGAGCCTTGAATAAACGACCAGACATCACTAACTCCTTTAACACCAGTAGTAGCCCATTAGAAAACGAAGATTAAGAAACAGAACTACTATTATTATATTGTCCTGTATTTTTCTCCTGACTCAAAACACAGGATAATATACTTTTAATTACATGACCATAAAAGCACAATAAATTAGTCATGTGTGGCATCACTCTTCTTTCAATACCAGGCAAAGTCTTCAACAGGGTATTGTTAAACAGAATGAAAGACTTCGTAGACGCCCAACTTCGAGATCAACAGGCCGGATTTGTTAAGGATCGATCGTGTACTGACCAAATTGCTACATTACGGATCATTGTGGAACAATCAGTTGAATGGAACTCACCACTCTACATCAACTTCATCGACTACAAGAAAGCATTCGATAGCGTGGATAGGAAAACACTGTGGAGGCTTCGTCGACACTACGGTGTGCCTGAGAAGATAGTTAATATCATACGGAATTCTTATGATGGATTCAACTGCAAAATCGTGCGCGGAGGACAGCTAACAGACTGTTTCGAGGTGAATACCGGTGTGAGGCAAGGTTGCTTACTCTCACCCTTTCTCTTTCTCCTGGTCATCGACTGGATTACGAAGACGTCAACATCTGGAGGGAAGCACGGTATCAACTGGACAGTTAGTACGCAGCTGGACGATCTGGACTTCGCAGATGACTTGGCTCTTCTATCGCACACTCAACAACAAATGCAAGAGAAGACGACCAGTGTAGCAGTAGCCTCTGCAGCAGTAGGTCTCAACATACTTAAATGAAAAAGTAAAATTCTCCGATGCAACACAACATGCACCAACCAAATCACTCTTGATGGAGATGCCTTGGAGGAAGTTAACACCTTTACATATCTTGGCAGCATAATCGACAACCAAGGTGGATCCGATGGAGATGTGAGGACGCGGATTGGCAAAGCAAGGGCTGCATTTCTACAGTTGAAAAATATCTGGAACTCCAAACAATTTTCAACCAAAACCAAAATCAGGATTTTCAATACAAATGTCAAGACAGTTCTACTGTATGGAGCGGAAACCTGGAGAACTACGAAAGCCATCATCCAGAAGATACAAGTGTTTATCAACAGCTGTATTCGTTGGCCAGAGACCATCAGCAACAACGAACTGTAGGAGAGAACAAGTCAGACTCCAGTGGAGGAGGAAATCAGGAAGAAGCGGTGTAAGTGGATAGGACACACACTACGAAAAGCACCTAACTGCGTCACGAGACAAGCCTTCACATGGAACCCTCAAGGCAAAAGGAAAAGAGGAAGGCCAAAGAATACATTACGCCTAGAAATAGAGAAAGATATGAGAGGAATGAACAAACATTGGACAGAACTGGAGAGGGAAGCCCAGGACAGAGTTGGTTGGAGAAAACTGGTGGGTGGCCTATGCTCCATTGGGTTTGACAGGCGTAAGTAAGTAAGTAAGTGTGGCATAAAACCCGAGCACTAGGTACAACATAACTAATCAATGATAATTTAAGAATGGTGAAATAATATATTTAACGGTAGGCTTGCAATCAGAACAAAGTAGAAAAAAAATACCAATAATACATGAAATAATAATCCTAAAAGTTCTATTACTCTTAATTATATTCTCACCAATCCAAAATGTATTATCACTAATTTATCAATTTTAAGCACATGTTTAAATAATTTTTTTTCTTTTGTAGTCTGTCGAAAATTATTATTGACACATAATAATAATAATAATTTTTCTCCTTTTCCATTTTCTCATTTTTAATTCATTAGATGGACAGAAACATTTAATTCGTAATTGTTCTACAAGTTTAAATATGAAAATGGAAAAATATTTAGTTTGTATTGCTGAATCTCGATCATCCATTGGTTATTTATGTTTTTGTAATAAAGATAAATGTAATTCAGCAAATTCATTCAAAAAAAAAACACTAGGACAATTTAGTAATTATATTTATTTTATAGTTTTAATAAATTTATTGCATACATTTTATCCTTATCGACATATGTAACTAGTGCCAGTAAAAAAAAATTGCTTCCATATATCATCAACAAGAGTTAAATGAGATGGATGCATTTAATGCATACATGTCATTGTTTTTAATAGATAGACAGACAGACAGACAGACAGACATATAATACAAAAAAAGAATGTGCGTAGATATTTTTTTAATGGACATTGATGTGTACATAACTAATCCTGAGATTGTCGATTGACATGGAATCGCGAACAGTGAGAAATAAACTAACATAGCTTACAATCGTCCCCTAGTACTTGATTCAATAATAGATTTATTTATTCATATATGTATTATAATATCTTATTAATTACCTAATTATATATAAGTATTCAAGTTGTTTTTCATACATAAAAAAATAACTGAATAATGTTTTTCTGCAATTGAAATAAAAAAACTACTTTGAGAATAGTTTCATAGAAAAACTATTATTTTCATGACTTTTTTTTGTATATTTAACAGATCATGTAAATTACATTCAAATTGGTTATTTTTGTCAAAATTTCTTTTACATGCTGTATACACAGTTATTTTATATCATTTTTTCCAATTATTATTATTATTATTAAATCTTTAAGTGTAAATTTTTCATTAGCCCTTAATATCTTAGAATGTGAATCAAAAATTTAAAACAAAGAAGACTGGTTCAGTGAAGAGTTCTCTTTTTTTTATGTGAATTCATTTTCAAAATTATACAATTGCAAATATATACTTTGTTTGTTTGTTTAACCATCTCTCTATCCGCTTCCCTCTTATTCCTTTTCTATATATATAAAACTATTTCCCGTCAATGCATTTATTCCCGTATCTATGATTCTTCTTAATACAGTTCATTTCTGTTAGGATATTTATCTAATATCCTAAAAGAATTATTGGTCAATTCCTATTGGTTAATTCCTACTGGTCAATTTTATGGTCGTCTTGACTGTCAATGTCACAGACTTCGATGCTGTCCCCTATTTGACCTAAATGTATAAATACTCATTATCTGTAACGTTTTATGACCCGGATCCCTAGTCTGGGATCCTGAATCCCTTCTGGACTCGTACCTCGTACTTTTTGGATACTTTTAGAATACAGGTTCTACTTCATATCAAGTCTTTTCTTTTATTCAATGGGTGTTGGGACACTCGGATTAGAGTAGCATGTCGTGTCGGTGGATCCTCGCTCTCGTTTCCGACAAAGATAAACTCCTATTAATAGTTCAAGCATATCAAAATGACATGTTAACATGCGTGCGTAACAATGTCAATTTGAATATTTTATCTGATCACATTGAACTTTTCTTTATCAATCTACATGATGAATAGTCAAGGTATCAACCACAACAACACTCATTCTTAATTCTCTTAATCAAAGTATCATTTGATATCTTTTTTCTAATTTTAACACTATTCTCATGTTTAACAAAACTTTTATTATCACTACTTTTGTAATTATTACATAGTTACGATTGTATAACTTTGAAAATGAATTCTCTGAAAAGAGAATTCTTCGCTGGATCAATCTTTCTTCTTTTGTCTTAATGAGTAGTATGTTCCATTTACTTAGAAATCGTATTCATTTTTCACTTCTCTACAAATATTCATTTGAATAATGTACAATTATGTACAGTTAGATTATTTTTTTCTAAACAAAATAATTGATAACTTAATTATTGCGACTCTAGATAAGTGGATAACGCGATGGCGTTTGGAGTGAATGTCACTGGGTTGAAGTATAAATCAGAACGAAATGCCGATCTTAAATTCCCATGTTAGCCACCATGCATCTCTGCTTTAAAAATATGAAGTAGGTTTGCTTAAAAAAATACTGACGAACTTTCCTAAAATCTAAGCCTTCATTATTTATTAAAATGAAAGTAGGAATACTTAATGAATGTTAAAATCATATAACTTTTTAATTACTTCTGAAAGTTAATCCAACAAGAATATTCTATAATCTGTTGTATTTTACCCTGGAAATATTTTTAGGTATATTGATATTCCTTAAACTGATACTCAAGTATTCAGTTGCGGGTTCTTTTTATTCTTAACCTATAGACATAGTGTTTCTAAGGTGACATGGAGAAAAGTACAATGTTCTTGATAACAACTTGAAAATATACAACGTGAATGGAAAAGAACAAATGAAACTTAAGGAATAATAACTCAGTAAGACATATTGAACATATTGAATAGTTAACTATACATTAAAACAAAAAAAATTATCTTATATAACAAGAATAACGAACGATTTAACCGTAGATTATTATTGATCATTGGGTGCGGTATTCAAGCCTATTGACAATAATTTGAATTGAACAATTTCTAGCATAGTTTAACCATGAGTGTTACATCGATACAATTGAATGTTTTACTAGTTTTAAAAACTCACAAAACTGGAAGACTTTTGTTAGATTGTAGAGATAATTTTTCATACGGAACAGCTTTTACACCAGTGTATTGATGCGATAAATTTCAATATGAAAGCTTTGATGCTAAGATAGATGAAGTATCTATTTTCGTTTCCATCTCAGTAAAATGTTTGTGTTGACCGAGCTGATGATTCATCATGTATTCTGACAAATGAACTGATTACTGTTTATTCACATAATAAGGGATGGCTTAAATAGAATAAATTGTAATAAGGAGTTGAGGTTTACTTAATGATTATCAATTGCAGGGAGACAGTCAGCTGTTATCCATCTCTTGTATCAGTACTGTTTGGCGCCGCCAATACATATAAGGCTTCAGCTTTTGGTCTTTCTTTGCATGAACCAAAACCTTTTTGATGGATTCCTGTGCCGATGAAACCATTTGTATGTTCAGACTCTGCTAAGTGTATTGCTATCGAGGACTTATTCTCTAGTTTTTATTGGGTCTTCTGAAGATTCAAAAATGTTCTTCAAATCAAGTTTGTGTTCCTTCAATTTCACATTCAGCTGCCTTGATATCATACTTAATACATCGTTACAGTCATTGAATTTGATATCAAATCAAAAATTTGTTGTTTCTTCTTTAAGATTGAGTCTTTTCGAATTATACGGTGTGGATTAATAATCATTCTGATTTTGTTAATTTGGTCACTAGGTATGCTTGAAGCTATTACTAGTTCACCTTAGTCGATAAACGCGAACGAGACAATGAACCAGCGTCCAGGTAGGCTACCTTGATCCGAAAACGGCTAAAGAGAAATCTTGATATAGCGTAGAAGGTATATTCTAAAAACATCCAGTAATCACACAATACAATCAAGCACACAACTCTCGTTTATTTATACATCATAGAAGCATCCTTGGGACAGTTAAGAAAATCGCACACTAAAATGACACAGCAGCCAATCACAGCCATGGATTTTCCTAGTAGGAATTGAAATCTCAAGGTCAGCCGATCAGCTCATGCTGGCAAACGTAGAATCCAAAATAAGGCATTTGTCAAGCGAGTTTTGGGGATCTAACATCCCCAACAGATTTCTTCTGAAGTTTTTTGTCAAATGAAATCATCAAAGTGTCAACCCATTCTTTTGATTTTCTTTCTTAATTATTCCTCGAATAATTATTCATCATCAAAGTTGATATAACGAAATCCATACAATTTTTACTTTGTGCAATTACATTGAAATACTTCAATATGCTGTTCTGTTTTTAGTTCTTAATCTGTTGTACTACTAGTCTCTTAATGTTTTCCAACTGGTTTGATGGCTCATACACGAAATTTCACAGGTTTTGAAATAAAATCGTCATATATGGTTTTGGTGAATATAGAAATATTCGTTTAAGAATGATTCCCATTTTATATTACTGTAATCCAGCAATAAACAGAACAAAATGAAGGCTTCTCTACTGTCTAACTATATTGTTGTTACTATTTGGAAAAAAGGCACTTCATGTTTTTTTAAACTTTTTCTACAGACTACTATAAATTAGTAAGTAACACGAAAAAATAACAAGTCTCTACACTGGCAGCTTTTCCACCGGTATATTTTATGTACATGTTCTGTGTGTATTTTTTTTTATATAACTAGGGCTATTTTACTATTTATTAGCTAGATAGCTGTTTCTTCCTGGTATGAGACTCTTCAGTAATAAACACACACTAGTTCCCCAGGGATTGAACCCAAGTTCTTCAGGTCTTGTAGTGTGCTCTTAAATGCTAAGTCATTTTCCATTGGTATAATTTTCACTTGAGCAATTTCTCAATAGAGCACTACCATCATCCAATGTTACTTGTGACAGCTGTTTCATTGCCAGCATATATGAACTTTGCCAGTGAAGATGAAAATCATTCTGTAATGAGGATACCACTTACACATCAAACGGATGACTATAAAACCCTTTCAACTAAATGAGGATTTTGTTGAATTCCGATGGATTTGCTATGTTAAGTCCAGAGATCACTGACTAATTTAACGCGTTGAGTACCCAACCACAATTCTAATTCCGTCTATTTTTCGTCTACTACTTATCGATAACCTAGTATCCCTGAATCAAGCAATTACACTCCGACCGGTACTATTGACTTTGGCCCAATAGCTGGGTTCTTATTGGTCATACCTCTGTAAACCTGGAGTTAGGTCCAAAAGCACCAACTAGTCTCTACTATATTTATGTTTCAAACTGACGCGGCTAACATACAAATATATCGGACTGTATGTTCTTCATTTTATGACATTAGTGACTGTGAATAATCGAGATTGCAAATAATGAATTGGCCACAAATTAGGAATAATGAGTCAAGTGGGCTAACTGAAAGCTTATGATAACGGAATATATAGACATAGTAACCGGATTACCTAATAATTATGCAATAAAATATGAATAATGACAATATGAAAAAAAAATTATTCTTGGGAATAGCCAAATCTTCATTGTTCGTTTATTCTGAAATATTCTTTACAACATGTATTGAAAGCATATCCACTCAAGGATTTAGACTTCATTGTCTTACTGGATAGATCATATTGTGGTGTACGCTACTTATGTTCACATAAGTAGTATAGGATATCAAATGGAAATAAAACGTCTGACAGCAAAAGATCGAGAAGGAAAGAATGAAACAGAAGGCGATTTGTGCGTAACGTAAAGTGAACTGAAGTCTGAACAGTCTAAATGAAAGAACACTGAAATCTGAAACAAATAAGGATTTGTTTGCAAATGATGATATCACGGGAACGTTTTGTAAATATGCCTAACAACTCTGTAATATTCGCTTAAATATATTGTTAATATCCTCACCTGAGTTCTCGAGCACAACAGTATGATTTTTATTTCAGCTTACGAGCTTATAGGTTTACAGGATTTATCAAAATATCCAACACCGAATCTAAAACATCGAAGTCCACCATTTTTGATGATTCATTTATTTATTCTATGGCCATGATCAGATTTTGAATCACTTTTTAAAAAAAAATATATTGAATGAACAACTGGAGCGGAGCTAATACTCTAAAAAACCTTTCATAAAAAGGCCGTGCGTGACAGGCCTCAAGCATTTGTCCCTTGGGCTCTGTGGTCACGCTTCCAGGCCTCTTAGACCAATACTAATCTACCTTCCTTTTCAGGTTCCTCAAGAAACACACCGTTGCACGGTGTGGGTAGCAGGGAAATGAAAACCGCCCTCATACCCGTAAGATCACGTTAGACCAAATCGGTCACAAACAAATCATTCGGATGGCATTAATCCGCATAACCTTGATTTTAAAAATGTTAATATTTATTGAATCATTCTTAATAGAAATGCCTACATATTTTCAAATTGATGATGATTTTACAATATCATATCCTCTGAACAAGTTAGTGATTATCTGCTGTGGGCGACTGGAGCGAAAGATATTGGGTTGAATAAAGCATAGAACAATAAATCAACTCGAATGAAGATATTTCCAGTTGATTAGTCTCAAACTAAGTAAGAAGATGGTGTTTTTAGATTGCACTGCTACTCAGAATTCTAAAAAAAAAAGAAGTAATTTCATAGTTTGACAAGTGTATTCATTTCAGTAACTTATATTATAATACACAAAATGTGCTCACTACTGACTAGCTTCGTAAAGAAATTCTCCCAGTTTTAATGAGTGAACATGCCCAGGAGAGTTCAACACTGTCGGGTGTATGCAGTTACTTACTGAAGACAAATGGGTGAGGTTGCACAATACCATGGATTGATTAAAATTAGACGTAAACACCAACGGATGCCGGCTAAGTGGTCTAGAGGTTTGTTGTTGCTGCGGGAGACTCAAGGTTATGGGTTCGAGCAGGGGTCGTGGATGTACACTACTGATGAGTCCAGGTTCCTAATGATGATCAATTCATGAGTTCAATCAAACTCAACAATCTCCATAACTCTATGATAACAAATGTAGGCGTTGTTAGGATGTGTTTGCACTCAAAAAAAGTGTATTTAATCACAAGTCAGTTGAAGTACAATTTCTTCTTAACTGAAAAAACACAAACACTAGGTTAATAATCTTCATAGTTTTACAATATCTATCCATAAATCATATTATCGACGAAAATAATCATAATAATAATAACAATAATATATTTTGTAGTCTTTCTAAAAATATGTAAAAAATATATTTTTAATTAAAAAGAAGGGAAGTTAATGAGAAAACAGCAAGAAGAAAAAAATTCACGCAATAAATAACGTATACCACTACTACTACTTAATTAGCATGATTATTATTAAAATAATGATTGATTGTCTAACAATTACACTTAGACCAGATGAAGTTTTTTTTTTTTAGAAATAATAAACAGATCTCAATGGGAAACATATTTTTTTATGATTAGAATTTTTATCTGAAATACTTATTTTGTTATTATTATTATTATTAAAGAATAATCGTTTTTGCTGGTAAATGGTTTGAAAGGTAAAATCGGTAATGGATGCCGGCCCAGTGGTCCGATGGTAAGGCGTTCGCCTACAATGCCAAAGGTCCCGGGTTCGAACGCTGCGAGGAGCAGGAGTCGTGGATGCGCACTGCCACTGATGAGTCACATACCAGGATGAAACGGCCGTCCAGTGCTTCCAGGTTTCTAATGGTGTGGTCTAACAATGATTGATTGATGATTTCAAATGTGTAATAATGAAATCGGAGCTAAGTTCCAAGTTTATGTGGCATTTCTCAGACTAACGTTCACATAGTCTTTATAAGCTTGATTCTCCTCCCTACTAGGCACTAAACTAGTTTGGGTAGAGTTACTACCAGAGGATGTTACCGATGAGATAGTTAGGCTGTGATAGACCTTTGGGGGAGAAATTCTGTAACCCGATTGTAAGTTGTCAACAATGCGTGAAGCATTTTTAAGCTTCTGTATAGATTTTGAGGTACTTCTTTATTGAAATTGAAATAAAGCATTCATAATTAAAAAAAAGCTTTTCATTGACCATCTCTTTTAGGAATTAGCATAATCTGTTACTCGCTACATTGAGCTTATTTGCATCAAAGGATTAGTTAATGGATGAACCCTAATTTATTTACAGACTAATCAGATTGTGTTTCTTGTATTTTTGTTAAAAATTCATGCATCCTTAGCGCTATATATTACTTTTACAGTTATAGCTGATATCAATTCTTGATGAAAACGTCAATCCCAAATCCCTAATTCGAACCCTATCGAACCCTTGGAATTTAACTGCGTTCTTTTACGGCATTCAGAAGACAAAATCTATGTTCATATGAGTGAGCATGTGTTTTTGTTTTCTTGATTGACAGCCAGAGTAATCTGTAGTAAATTTTCCTATCCCCCTAACCATTGACCAATATCACATGATAAATACGAAACACCAATCGGAATTATGTTTAGCATCCGTACCTTTGAGTCAGCTCTAAATCCTTATTGGTCCACAACTCCATAGCTCCCTTATTTCTACCCTACCTCTTAGCCCAGAAGTCTATTGCCAGCCTTCATGAAATTGAACATATTTGACCAGACTTACATTACACCATAGAATGCGTAAACATATCTATTTCATCAGGTCATAAGTGGCTGTGAATGAGAAACTGGAAAAAGATTAGAAATGGCACATTGTACAAAATTAGTTAACAAGTTGACCAAAGGGAATATAAACATGTAATAATCTAGTTTGTATTACGGGGTTGTGAAGATTGTTAAGTTTTATTGAAACCATGAATCAATCAATGTTAGACCACTATTAGAAACCTGGAAGCACTGGACGGCCATTTCGTCCTGGTATGGGACTCCTACCGGGTGCAGGAGTCGTGGATGCGCACTGCTGATGAGTCCCATACCAGGACGAAACGGCTCTCCAGTGCTTCCAGGTTTCTAATGGTGGTCTAACAATGATTAATTGATGATTTCAAATATGTAAAAACACAAACCTCCAAAACTCTGCCCCCAAAACATTTATTAATTTAGTCGGATGTATGATGAAGCTAAATTTTTACTCATTCCCATTTCTGTCGTTCTCTTTAGTCATAAATTAAACTAGGGAAGTTCAAAGAGATTCACCTCTTCACTATAAATTGATTGTTTCTATTAAATTTATACTAATTTTTGAAGGTAATACTTTACATTTCATTTGATTCGCTCCTGTTTACTGGTGATCAGTAGTTAAAGAATTGTTTACAGCTATACACTCTCAAAATTAAACCAACCATTTTCTTAAAAAAGGCTGTCATATCTGTCATATACCTCGCAGGATTCGAACCCGGGACCTTCGGTATTGTGCGCGAACGCCTAACCATCGGAACAGGAGTCGTGGATGCGCACTGCCACTGATGAGTCACATACCAGGACGAAACGGCCGTCCAGTGCTTCCAGGTTTCTAATGGTGGTCTAACAATGACTGATTGATGATTTCGAATAGATTTTATCCTGATTTCCGTAAGGTCGATAATTGACTGCATTTACATTTCAATTAAGCAGTGCCTGTCAGAGATTGTTCTCTTTGATTGTCTGAAATAACTTTCTCCTTAGTGTAAGAGACACGTCAGTATTGTACACAAACATCATCCATTCATTGATCAAATTGAGACTATTCAGATTTTCTGCTATTAGTTTATTCTCTAAAAATTTCACGGAACATTTCTTAGTTTTCTCAATGATATAACTTGGTCTAACAGTAGTAATGTTTATTTTTTCACTGTCAAAATATTCTCCAAGAAAAAAATCATATAATTTAATCATAATGACAAAATGACAAGGTAAAAATTAAATTTTTTGCCTCATTCTGACTTTTGTTCGTTCCACTTTTAACTCATCAACCTGATTGATGATGATGATGATGATGTCTACCTTAGTTGATTGTTATTTAATTTTCAAGATATGATATTGTTTGGTTGAAATTAACTTCAATTATGACATGCAGCATGTGTGATCGGTTATCATTCTAGTCATTTTGCCAATACGTTACTTTTTTAAAATTATCGATGAAATGGACGTGTACAAATCAATGCTTTGAATGAATGTATTTCCGACTACAGTCGTTGTCGTGAGCAAATCTTTACATGTACAAGTCTTTTGTGTTCTTAAGTATCACCATGAGAATAATGGTGGTTTCTTGTTTCATGTGTGAATTTGCTGACCCATTAACTGACTCCATTGTATAAGAACCATTGAATATGCTATGAACTAAATCTTTCATTGTAGTTTGTATATTACAAATAGGCTAACCCTGTCTGCGCGATGCCGGTAATAATAAGAAGCCAAACACAGATTGAATTGGATGAGTTTACTCCACCATGTAATCGTTCACGCAGACAGACATGAGGATTAAAAAAAGCTGGAAAGCAAAGCGAAGCGAAGTGGAGAAGTTGAGTAAGCCAACTTCAAAACAAAATTAAGTTAAAGACATGTCACAAGCACAGTGAGCAATGTTGTACACACAAGCACTCAAGCCAAAAAAACAAAACACCCAAAGTTATCAGTGAATAATTGACAAAGTTGAAAGACATGTAAAATAATGATAACTTGAGAATAGATTACTTTGTTTGTCCAAAAGCTAGGACAGGCTATGGAGGCTCAATGTTCTAGTGCATACATACTACACGAGAAACAGTGGCGACCAGCCGGTTATGACAAACATTTTGTTGTAACTACCAATTGTCCAGTATGAATCTACACAGCTACGAGATATTGCGTTAATCGTTCGGTTATTATTATTATTATTATTATTATTATTATCGTTTTCCAACGAAAGAAATCACAAACATTTCCAAACAAGTGAGGAAAAAAGAGTCACTCAAAATAGTACATTTTGTTGTATCACTTGTCTGATTAATTCTGTCTGCTTATTTACCATTCTGTTATATGTTAAATACAGAATAGGACTTGTTTTACAATATTTTTTTCACTGGTTTATTTAATAGTCCATTCTCTATTCTATTTCAATTTGTATATAACATTTTATCTTTGAAA